GCTTCGGCATCAGAATTATCCACGTTAAGTTGCAGAGCATTGCACGGGAGTTTCCTGTAGCAAGAGGAAACCCCGGTGCAGGGACGAGTTTCCCGCCTTTTCTGCAGCTTCTTTTGCAGAGTGCATTGCTCGAGTTGCAAGAGGAATGCACGGTACAAAAGAGTTCCCGCCACCGGTATGCAAATTCGTCCCAAGCCGAAGAGGACTCCACATCCATCTCGTGGGGACTCTGGGTACACGGCAGGGTAATAGAAACCCTGTGTGAGATCCAGAGGAGCGTGGCGGGCTGATCCACCGCCCACCTCTTCCCGTCTTCGAGCGCGACTAATATAAGACGTATTTACGATTTCTACATTGGTGGCCTGTTCACCCAGAGCATCCGGAGCTCTCCACCGTGCAGCCTAGCAACCTCCACGAGACCGTCTGTGTTGTGTCTGTCTGTAACTGCAACTTAATCAAGCTTTCCAGCCTACACCACTGCCATCTCGGTGTAAGTAAACAATCTTTTAAAACTACCGATACGCGTCCGTGCCTAATTCCAGAGCGAAGGCCTTCCCTCTCCGCCCCCACGTGCCCGGGCTGCTGGCCACAGCCCGCGTGCAGCGTGAAAAAAGGCTCGGGGCGCTCCCGGCCCGCACACCCGTGTCCATCGAGGACGCCGTTCTTTCACCACTCCTAGTGCCCTTAAACGTGTCTCGATGGTTCCTGGCCCGCTCCACCGATGTCGTGCATGCTATTAACCTTACTTGGCACAACCCGTACTCCCAAATGGATCTCCCTGTCCCTTATTCCTGGCCTCCTTGGTTTAATTCCTCCTCCCTCAGTTTTTCTGAATGCACCATGATTCCCCTCTACGTATCTAGACCACCGCAAACGGCCTTACCCTGCTCCAGTATTCCATGGGGCCTCAGCGGCCGCCGTATCAAGTCCGGCAAGCTGGACGAATCCCTGACGTGGGACCCCCTCTCGCTTACCCCGCCATGGTTCCTCAGACTCCCGCCGTATCCCACGCCCCCTTGTATTAAGGCCTGCCCACCTATAACAATCTTTCCCCTACGACATACACCTCGCCTTGTCACCTGGAACTCATCTTTAGCCATAAACGTTACCTCCTCTCATTCCTGGAGCTCATTTTTTTACCCTATTCTCCGTGCGGCGATGGTTAGCTGGCCCTGGCACAACATGTCCAGTCCTATCACCGCCAACTCTGAACCCCCACGCTCCACGTGGGCGTGCCACGTGTACGGCAACTGCTTGGTCCTTGCCACCCCTGCCCCCGTTGGCACTCTTTGGGCCTGTTCCGACGGCATTTTATATACTGCCTTGCCCGCTGTTTTAACCGACGTTGATTGTTTTTTAACTGATGTCGTATTTTGTCCCCCTCTGTATGCCCACACGGCCTCACCGCATAGCCCAAGTCTCCATCGCCACCTGCGTACCCCTGTGTGGAGCCAGCTGACTGACCGTGAGCGAGTTGCCAAAGGCTTTGAGTGGGCCGCAGAAGGTTACTTTGCGTGGGGTGTCAGCATTGTAAAGGCCCGCGTGGCCATCGCCACACTCGCTGAACTGGTCAAAGTTATTGACAACGCCACCCAAGCCTCCCTCCGCCTCCTTAACAAACAGCTCCAAGACACTTCCCGCATGACCCTTCAAAACAGACTTGTACTTGTACTTGTACTTGATGCTTTGTTAAAGGCCGAACAAACCATTTCTACTATCTCTAAAGAAACAGTCAAGCAAATGATACTTGAACTAAAAAAAAGTGACATTGAAGAAGAAGAAACTTGGACAGGCTTGCGGCAAATAAAATTAGAGTGATCCTCCTTCGGAAGGATCAAAGTGGGGAAATGAAGGGGAACAAAATGGAAGCCAACAGCCATTTTATGCAAGTGAGCAAGTCAAGTACTAATCTGCTGACTGTATCTATATATATATATAGATATATATATCTATATATATATATATATATATATAAACAAAAAATCAAACAGTTAAACTAGTTCTTTTGTTGCAACAAGTTAAAGACATGCGCATTCTTGTTAGAGCCGTAGCGAAGGTTGATTGGTGTATACTGTTTCTATGCCTATGATGTCATGACTTCTATATTAACCAGCTTTACCCGCAATACGAGGTCAGACCTCATCACAGTTTCTGACTGTGTATCACTCTGTCCAGAATGCATTCTTTAATAAACGAAGTCTGCAAACTCTAAAATTCTTGTTCGTCTGAGCCTCCGCCCAACGAACCTGGAGGGGGGGGAAAGGAGATCTTTCCCCCGCAGTGCCCACCCAAGAGTGGCCCAAATCCTGGGAAAGCCCTTGACGCCCAGCTCCCTAGGGCTGCGCGGGGTGGACTCCATGGGGCTGAATGAAGTTGATCTCATCATTTGTCATTTCAAATCTGTGGTTCTGCTGCTCCCTGCTCAGGCCCTTAGCCCCTTAGCATAGGTCTGATGCTCTCAGCAGCCCTGGCTGTACAGAAGTGTCCTGTTTCACTCCCTCTGGGATTTGGTGCCCGATGCTCAGATCCTGACATTCAGAGCTGGGACTCTGGAGCCAGAGGCCCCAGTCTGAATGAACACGCACAGGGTGGAAGCCAGGAGTTCACTTTTCAGAGGTGTTTGTGCTGGTGCATAAATCCCAGCCTTGGAGTATTCCCAGCAGCAGCTGCCAGCAGGGACCTGGGGAGGGCTGGGGTGAGTTCCTTGACCAACCCCAGGGAGTGCTCACAGCGGGGGTTTGGCCAGATTGTGAAGCTCCAGGAAAGCTGTTGTGAAGGGAAACAGCCATTTTGCTCCCAGCCTTTCCTGGCTGCATGTAGGGACTGAGAGTGAGGGTGCCCTTCAACATGCACCGGACCTGCAGCAGCACCCAGCTGTGCTGGAGGAGAGCCCCCCAGGTGCATCCTCTGTGAGGCAGAAAGGTGGGTGGGGGATTCCTTGGAGAGGGTCCTGGCTGGTCAGAGAGACGTCACCACAGATGGATGCAGGGCTAGGTCCTCAGTACCTTGGGCCTCCAGGGAGGATGTCTGGTTGAGCCCAGCTGAGCCTCTGGTTTCTGGCAGCTTTTGTGTTAGTCCCCATCCCCACCAGCCCACTAAGGGAATGGCAGCACTGGAAGAGCCCTAGGGCTCTTTACCAGTGCCAATGCTAAATCAAGACCCCAATGGAGACTAATATTTGGTTTGTTCCCTTTCCTTGCAGAGGGACTGGCTGCAGAGAGAGGTAAGAGACCTGATGGAGGGAGAGGAGGGGAGGGGAGGAAGCACCTGTTCCTGTGCATGGGGGCAGCTCTGGGCTGAACAGTGTGACAAGGGCGGAGGTCAGAACAAACCAGGGAAGCCTTTCCCATCATCATCCGCAGTGAGACAGGGCAGAGCTGGGTCCTAGGGGAGGAGGCCCATGGGGCAGCTGGGTGAGAGCTGCTGCTGCGCCTGTCACTGTGAGATGACAGTGGTTGGAGACAAACACCCAGACACATGGAGGGGCCAAATGGGGGCTGCTGGGAAGGGAGGGCTGAGAACTGAGACCTCAAAGATCAGCAGGGAGAAGTGACAGCTCCACAGTGACACCAAGCTCCCTGATGCCCCTGGACATGAAGCTGGGATGTCCTTCCCCAGACAGGACCACAGCACCCTCTGGGCCAGGCGGATGGGACAGGATTCAGCCGCTGAGGGGACTGGTCCCTCCCTCGTGGACTTCCTGAGTTGTGGGTGTTTCAGTTCTCCTCTGGCTGCTGCAGAGACATGGGGCCAAATGCTACAGCCCTGACTCCTCCCTTGCCACAGCTTCCAGGCAGCCCCAGGGGTTTGGCTGGGTGGGAACAGCAGAGTTTGCTCCAATATCTTCGAACTGGGTCCTGCTGCAATGACTGTGCTTTGTGAATGGTCACCAATCTCTCTCTGCTGGTTGATTCCAGGATTCAGAAGAGCCCGAGGACACGCAGGTGACCAAGTGACCCCAGACCCTCCTCTTAGAGGGCTTTGCTCCATGTGGTCACGTCTGCCACCGTCACGATGCCCCAAACATGAGCTTTGTCTCTCTGACCAGCAAGAATCACTGCATCCCTGTTGCCTTCTCTCCTTGCTTTGCCCAGCCCGGCACACTGGGTCTGGGGCAGAGTTGGTCTCTGGGCCATGTCAGACCCCAGGCCTAAGTGTTGGGATCCTCAGTCCATCTCCTTGACACCATTTGAACCACACATAGCTCCTTTTGCTACTGCTGATCTGCCCTGTCTCTGCAGTGCCCACGCACTCAGCCAGAGTCCAGAAATGTCATGGCCTGCCTTGGGAGACCTATTCATGGGTTTAGAACGATTGACACATGAATCCTGAAGGGGCTTTGATGACCCAGGTTAGCTCTTTGGTGGGGATGATCCCTGAGGCTCTCACAAATGGGATGGGCTCTGCAGGGAAAAGTGGTATTTCCCACTGTCTGTGTCCATGCGCCATCCCCTTGCAGGTAAGATGAGCCAGGAGTCAGGGTGACCATGGGGAGGGCCTGCCCTTGGCCAGTCTGCACCCAGATTAGGGTGTGAGAGCCCCAGCCCTGCAGGGATCCCTCAACCCTGCCCCAGTTGTGCCTCTGGCTGGTTGTTCAGAGTGAGGAGGTGGAAAGTGCAGACATTTCCAGGAACTCTGAGCTGGGCTCTGGCAGCAGTGCACATGCTGGGCAGGTCTATGCAGCTCACAGACCCTGGGAGAGAAATCACTCTGGGCAGGCCGGCCAGGCTGGCTCTCATGATGGGAGCAGGGGCTGATGTTCCTCCAACGGGCAAATGTCAGAGCAGGTCATGGGAACAGAACTGAGGGGGAGATATTTTTCATGCTGATGCTCTGAACAGCCCCCACAGCCTCCTCACCTCCCCAGTTTGCTTCCCCTGCCCCTCCGTTCCCAGCCTCCTCTGTCCTCCCCTGAGTGCTGGTCCTGGTCTTGTGGTTTTTCCTCGGGGTGGATTTCCATAGGCTTGAAGGGGCCTAAGGACCCATTGGCAGTACCTGGCAGGGGAAACACTGTGACCACTAAGGTGGTTTTCCTAGTTGCTGGGGATGACCACTCTTCTGGCACAGGGTAGTACCTGCAGAGGTAAAGTATAGTTAACCTCCCACATTCATTTCCCATGGGAAGATCTTGGCTTTATGCCCACTTTATGGAACTGGGAGACTTCTCCCTAGCTTGTTCTTGTGGCCGTATGGCTGAGGGGGAGCGAAACTCGGGGCTACCCAAACCCTAAGACTCTGGGCTTGGGCCTGCACATAGGATGCCTGCCAAATGATTCGGAAACATCTGAAGCCCCAGGCAGGGGTAGAGGATGTTTGCCGGTAGCAGGGCCACTTATGGGTCTTGAATGACTCACAGATTTGGAATTGATTTGGCTTGGAACACGAAAACTTTTACTTAAAAAAACAACCCGAACCCATTGGCAGTTGCTGGGGTTTCTGTCTCCAAGTCTCTCAGACGTGTTTGAAACCTGTCTGTCTGTGCAGAGCCCAGTGCAATGGGGGCTGCTGTGTGTAATGCCTTGGCCCCCTGGGGATGGGTCTGCAATACTGTGAGGGCAGGAGGCCCTTGTCCCAGCAGTGTCCCAGGCCCTATCTGCACGAGGTGTCCTTGGCCCAGAGCAGCTGTCCTAGTGCAGACCCCTAGAGCAGATGCAGTGACTAGGGGTGGCCTGAGCCTTACTCCTCATACAGCTGAGCCCAGAGGGAGGGGCAGTCATTGGGGAAATGCCCCCCACCCTCAGTGACCCCAGACTCATCAGCAGTGGGCCCTATTTTCCTGTGCTTAGTTCCCCTTTTCAGTGCCCCCCCTTCCTCCCTGCCCCCACTGGGCTGGGCTGTAAGGGAGGAGCTGGCTGTGGGCTGCTCTGCGTGTAGCTCTGTGTCCACAGGGCTGGGGACATGGGGGGTCCCAGCTGGGGCAGAGCAGCCCAGCCTGGGGTGGGCAGGGGCAGGCACCAACCTGCTGTTGGCAGCAAACCAAGTGACCCAGGCCCCCAAGCAGAGATCCCTGGGCCCTGCCCTCGCTTCTCATCCCTGCCACCCTCTTCTCCCAGCGCAGGCTGCTCTCGGGGCCGCTCTGCTCCCCTTCCAGCTCCCAGAAATCCAGCCCCCTCATATCCAGCTTTATTACCTGCTCCTTCTTACCTGTCTCTTCCCAATAGCACCTGTGACACCATCTCATGGACCTCCGCACCCCAGGGCCTGAGCTGCCCCACACCCAGAACCTGACACTTTCGTCCAGGGCAACTGGTGCTGCCTTAGTAGGGGAGGCACGTGCCCCGCCTGTGACCAGTCCCTCCGACTGGGGGGGGGGAAGGTCCCCTGCGGGCAATCCTGCAGACCAGGGAGGGGGACAGTGTCCCCTGCAGGCGATCCTGAAGATGGCTGCAGCAATCTGTCGTGGAAAACACACGCAGCAAACTTTTGGGTCAGGTCAGCAGAAGCTTTATTTGGCTGGAGCTACAGCTGTAGGAGGGGCCCCAAAGTGACATGGATTCACCATGCACTTGGAGGGGGCTCCCTCCCTAAACGTTAAAGCAAAAGGCTTATATACCTTTTAACAGCCACCTACAATTCATGTGAACATATAGTGAAATTTTTTAGAAACCTAGCTGCGGTAACAGTTACAAAAACATTATTTTCATTTCTTTATTACAAAACACTCTTCTTGCTGTCTCAGTAACCGCTGATTACCATAACGCCAGACATTCTTCCTCTTTTCCTAGCCCACACTTTTACACAACGCCTTTTGTTTTATCTTTACAACCTTTTTTTGATCAAAGTTTAAGGCCTTTGCTTTTTTTTATACCACAAATCCCAGGAGCAGCTGCAGTGATCACAGCGATCGGCCGGTGCTTGCAGGGGGGACACGTGCTCCTGCCTGCCCCCCCTGCCCATCGCCTAAGCAGTGAGCGCGGCTGATCAGGGGGTGTACTGGCACTCTCAGGGGGTGCACGTGCACCCCTTTGCACCCCCTACATGTCTCCACTGCTTTCCTCACTCCTCATGAGTCCAGCACCCACTCCTGTTGACTCTGCTCTGTCCCAGAGGATGAACAGGCCAGGTGGGAACATCCCACTCTGCCCTGGGGTTATTTCCTGTTCTCCCCATTTCCCCTCGGGGCGACAGTGATTTCACAGGCAGGGACTGACCCGCGATTCCTGGGGACACAGTGAATTCCCTGTGATCCCAGGGACCCACTGCCTCGGCCCTAACCTGTGACTCTCCCCAGTGGACGTGACCCTGGACCCAGACACGGCTCATCCCAACCTCGTCCTGTCTCAGGATCGGAAATGTGTGAGACACAGAGACACACCGCAGGATCTGCCTGACAACCCTGAGAGATTTGATCGTCGTTTCCGTGTCCTGGGCTGTGAGGGGTTCACAAGTGGGAGGCACTGCTGGGACGTGGAGGTGGGAGACAAGATGGCCTGGGCTCTGGGGGTGTGCAGGGAGTCCGTGGACAGGAAGGGCGAGAAGAGCCTGTCACCTGGCAATGGATACTGGGCACTGTGCCTGAGTGGTTGGGGATACGAGGCCTGCACCTCCCCACTGACCCCCCTCCACATGTGCGTGCGCCACAGGCGCGTGGGGGTTTTCCTGGACTACGGGGCAGGTGAGGTCTCGTTTTACAACGTGACGGACAGGTCCCATCTCTTCACTTTCACTCACACCTTCTTTGAGATCCTGTGCCCTTTCTTCAGCCCTGGTCTTAATGCCGAGGGCACCAACGCAGCTCCCCTGATACTGTGGCCAGTCCCAGCCCTGAGGGAAGCCCAGGCACTGCCATGACACATGGCACAGATGGTCCACTCCCAGCAACACTGGGTGCCCGTGGGGTGGGGGTGGGGAGCAGGGGCTGGGGTCTCCCAGTCACTGGAGCTGCTTCCGCCTGGATCCTGCTTCACCCCAGGGTTCATCTCCCAATCCCCACACTCACACCCTGCCCACTAGAAGGGACCATCTCCAAACTCCTTGATTTACATATCACTACAGTCCCCACGGGTTTCTAATTTTGTTACTTTTCCTACCTTTCTCGGCACTGTTTTTTGTCTGCCTTCCCTCACTTCCCTCCATTCCCTGTCTTTTATATTAAACAAAGCCTGTGCATTGGGCATCCTGTTCTGCACGTCCTTCCATAGCATCTGGTGATGAGGTGAGCTCTTGTTCTTGAAAGCTGATGCATCTCAGATTCAATGAGTCCAGTGATGCTAAAGCTTTCTGGTGTGTGGGTTCAGGGGCACATGCCACTTCTGGAACCACATCTGTGGTTGGACTGGGTAAGAGGCCCTGGACCCAGTGCATGTGACATGATGCCTGAGTGCCCTGGGTACAGGGGTGCCTGAGGATGGTGGGGTGTGGGGAGGCGGACAGCATCACTGGCTGTGCCACTGGCAGCGCAGCAGCTTTTATTTGCTCTTCCCCTAGGGTCAGTAGTGCCCAGGTCAAATGTTCCAGTCCCTTCCTTAATTCTGCTACTGCATGGGGCTCCCAACAGGTCCCAAAATTAATCCATTGCCAAATTAATCTATTTCATGACCTGTGGGGATGGATAACTTGGCTCTGCAGGCCAGCTCTGGCCCATGGGCCCAGGTCTGTAAGGAGCATCTCTACCCTGCCTCCTGCCTGATTTCAGCCTAACACAGCGAACTACTTCTCAGCGCAGATCAGCGGTTCTCAGCCTTTTAGAGTGAAGATGCCCCCCTTTAATAACTCAGGACACCCTCAGAAAATTCCAGCTCTTTGCTTTCATTCGTTTTTTGACACTGAAAAATAATGTAGCTGCTCCTGTGTTGCAAAGAACTCAGAAAGGCCAGAATGGTTCAGAACGGTTTTGACGCTATGGATTCCTATTTGAAATCTTTGGGCTTTTCTTGTGAATCATGCACGTGTTCGCACAGCTACCGGTACTAAGAAGCTTACCATACCTGCCTGAAAATCGCTGGTGCAGATCAAACTGATATCAAAGCCCCTTTGCACCCCAACGTCTCCCCTGTGCTGGGCCACGGCCTGCCTGTGTGA